GCACTCGTCGTTAGGTCTCTCTCTCTCTCTCTCTCTGTTGCTACACATGAAATCAACCATCCGCTTTAGGCCCTTCTACTCCATCCCATCCTCAAGGTCAGCCTAGGTCACCATCTCTGCCTGACTTCCCAATATCCTCCTCCTCCTCCTCCTCCTGGTACCTCTCTCTCTCTCTCTCAACATTCTGCTAAATCGAGGTCACGGTATTATTATTAGTAGTAGTAGTATTAGTTGTAAAATGAAGAAGAAGAAGAAGAAAGGAAGAGTAAAAAGTTAATAATAAATACAACTGACAGAGGCATTGATAACAAAGTAAAGAAGAAGGGAAATGCGGTTGAGGATCTTCCTTCTTTGCCTCTCATCCCTCCTCCCCTCACTCCTCACCTCTCCCCTCCCCCCTTCTCACTTCTCTCCCTCCTCCCCCTTCTCTCGTTACCATGCAGCAAACGGCGACACTGACTCAGCACGGGCCGTAGGAGGGACAGATCTCAAGGGACACATCACATGTCTCTCCTACATGACACATCTCCACAGACCATAGTCCCCCCTCCCCCTCTGTACGTTTTCTCTTATACTATTTTTTCCCGTTTTCTGTATTTAAATCATTTCCTTTGTTAACATGAATGTGAGCTTTCCTGTTTATTTGGTTTTGTCATAGTTGTTGTTCTTCTTCAGTTTATTCATCATTTTAGTTAAAGTAAGGGAATGTAACGTTAGAGTTTAATAAGGTTTCTTTATGTCTGTCTGTCTGTCTCTCGTATATATGGTCCACTGATTCTTCATTCTTCACGCCACCAGCAATTGTTATTATTCCAAATTAAATCAGATTATTCACACATTATTCCCACACATCCTCCTCCCACACACCCTCCTTCCACACATCCTCCTCCCACACACCCTCCTCCCACACACCCCTCCCCCACACATCCCTCCCTCCCCACATCCTCCTCCCACACCTCCTCCCACATCCTCCTCCCACACCCCTCCTCCCCACACACCCTCCTCCCCACACATCCTCCTCCTCCCACACATCCTCCTCCCATACACCCCTCCTCCCCACACACCTCCCTCCCACACATCCTCCTCCCCATCCTCCCTCCCCACACACCCCCTCCCACACCCCTCCCTCCCACACACACCCTCCTCCCACACACCTCCCACACACCCCTCCCACAACGCGAGTCACAATCATCAACAATTAACAAGACGAGAGAGGGCGAACATCACGGGGGGAGAGTTGAGAGGGAAAGGTGAGAGGGAAAGAGAGTGGGGAGGGGAGATGAGGGGAGGGAGAAGGAGGGAAGGGAAGAGAGCAATGAGTGGAGGAGGGGAGAGGGAGAGAGAGAGAGGGAGAGATTAAAGAGAGGGAGAGGAGGAGAGAGAGAGAGAGAGAGAGAGAGAGAGAGGAGAGAGAGAGAGAGAGAGAGAGAGAGAGAGAGAGAGTATTAGAGAGGAGAGAGAGAGAGTATTAGGAGAGAGAGAGAGTATTAGAGAGAGAGAGAGAGAGAGAGATCAGAGAGAGAGATGAGAGAGCTAGATTGAGGATGCTGTGAGAGAGGTGACTGTCATATCCTTGGACACACCCACTCACCTCCAGCTGACCACACAGGGGCTCTCTCAATCACTCTCCTCCCCCCCTCCTACCCCTCCTGGTCACGTGACTCTTCA